AAATTCACAACCAACATCAGCAATTCAGCACAAGAAATTCGAATCCGGTTCCAAACCAGTTTCGTAGCCGTGAAACGCATTTGATTTCACCTACAACTTTCCAGCCCAAGGCTCAGAGTCCCAGAGATCGAACACCGAGAACAGAGATCAAGTTTCAACCGACAACTTAGAAATCCAAAAACACACAAGAACTCAAGTAATTTGTTAAGGAAAAAGAACAAACTTTGATCATATATACTGATTCAACAAAGAGAGGCTAGCATAAAAATCCAGCAAACAAGAGCAGCTGCTGGAAACTGGGAAAAGCTATCAGGAAATAACAATCCCGGGGCTAAAAAACAAAACCAATAAATACCCAAGAGCTAAAAAAGAACACGAAGCTAAAAAGGGGATATTTTTCTCTTTTGGTTTTACCTTCTATTTGGGATATTTTCGCGGTTTTCTCCCTCCCTGAAAGGCGCAGGACGGTGTTCCTTCTTAGCTGCGATGGGTTTCTCCAGTCGACAAATGGCTGGCTGTAAGCCTCTCTGAGTTTTTCTTTTTCGTTTTTTAATTTATCTCTTTTTATGAAGGAGAAAAAGACAATTTAGCAGAAGAGGGTTACTATTCATGGTGGCGGGCCCGGTTGCAGGAAACGCGAATGGGATGAGCAGTGAAGGTTGGTGAAGGCCAGCCAATGGCGTGCGCCCACTTGGAGCATGGGAAACGGCAGCACGTGTTTTGGAGTCAACGGTGTGGATGGGTTTTTGAGCGGTATAGGCAATTGTTGGAAAAACCATTTTATAATTTAATGGTTTTGTAAGATTTACAATGGCAGAAACGATTAGTTGGAAAAAATAATATTTTAAACACAATTTATTTATCCCAACTACAAAAATTAAATACCTAAAGTTATCTCTAGACTCTAGGCTTAGAGTTTTGCTGTGTTTGGATGTCCTAAAAGAAAAATATAAACATCATTTTTAGAAAACAGAAAAAAAAATGTGGGATTTGGTCCAGTTTGAACAAAAAATGTCTTAATTTGAAGACCTTATTATTATTAGATGGAAAAAGGTCAAGCAATCGGTTTTAGAAGCATTAGTCAATATACTTTCAATCACACTTTTCATTTAGTAATCAACTTAACCGCATGTTAAAAGTAACATTGGCTACAAATCAGGTTGATTAGGTTGATGAGGCGAAAATAATGAATATCAAATGAACACTTTAGGGGTGTTTGGATCTGATTCTTAAAACTGCTTCTGCTCCTTCAGGAAGCAGAAGCTGAGCTAAAGTGTTTAGGTGAAAGTGCAAAAGTGATTCTGGTGCTCTAATTTACTCTTAGAATCTACTTTTTAGAAGCTGAAGGTGACCAGCTTCTGAAAACTGATTCTACTTTAAAAAAGAAGCACTAGACCTTCTTCATTCATGCATTCATCATCATCATTTCTTAATTTGACACTCTTGACTTATCACAATCCATGAGTATAAGTATGGGCTTTTTTAAAAAATGGTTATAATTATGAGCGCGTAACGTAATGATGTGCTAATGTGCTATTCATCCCAATTTTGAAAATCTTTTTTATGAATGTGTAAAAAAAAGTAATTCCCTATGAGCATATCTAAATCTAAATGCTTATATATAAATTAATAGATATTCATGTGCCGGTTTCAAAATATTACTCCCTCCGTCCCGGATGAATCCTGACGTTTGTTTTTGGCGCAGAGTTTTAGGAGACCAATTAATAGAAACGGCAAATCCCTTTGATACCCTTTGTCCCTCCTTTGGCCTTTGTTAATATGCCGAAATGGCAGTACCCACTGACAGAACAGGTGAATAGTACATGATAGTGGGAGTTATTTTTTTTTACTGCCTGTGGCTGTTTAGTACAAATGCAGTATATTTTGATTATAGATGCAGTATATTTCAACTGCTGATGCAACTTCGTTATTGGTGTTATAATCTCAAAAAAGACCATTTTTCATCATGGGTAGCTTAACGACCACCAACACGGATCATAAGCAATTATCACAATATATTAGGTCTCAAAGCAAACAGAGTGAAACTCAAAATAGATCAAATCACAACACACGAAGTTTTAGTCAAGGTTACATAAGCGTTCGGTAGAGGGTATCGGCTAGAACATAAATAAAATTGATTAAAGGATGTCTCATAGGCGTTACAAAAGAGTTTCTAATAATGGCATGTTCGAGATCTTCAAGATCCATATCTGAATTGGGATCAACCATAGTTGTTTAACAAAAAAAAGAAAACATTAAAACCCTAATCACATGTATTAATAGATCGAAGTCCAATAGTCGATAATTAGGGAGAATTAGGGAGAAAACATAGGTAGATCGATTAACACTTACAATTTTCTTGGTCAGGCGAGCAAAGTCCAATAGTCGATAATTAGGCAGAATTGAAGAGACTAATTGAATAAATTTTAAGAGGAGATGAACAGATGGAGGGCAGATTAATGTTAGAGATTCAACTGTCCGTATGGGTTTTGGAGATTAGTACGGAGTATACGAGAATGGCGGACCTGCGGTTGGGTAGTGGGTTGGTAATTAATTCTATCTAATTAAATGTAAATGTGAGTGGGTGGTGTGAAGGTTTTTTGGGTGGTGTGAAGGGTAGTTATGCCAAATCATGTATAATAAGTTGTCAAAAAGGGAAACGTAAATGAGTAAATGGGACGTCCCGAAAAGGAAAGTGTAAAGATTTAAATGAGACGAATGGAGTACATGATTACCTAATGAATCCAATTTCGAATCCAAAACTGTATGTATGCTAAAAATGCTCTATTTATGTTGAAAACACTTTTAATGAAACTACATACATCATGATACGATCGTGTCAAATTCTACATGAGTTCGGAGTGAAATCGGAAATGTTTGTGAATTTTAAGTTAATGTGTAAAGTATAAAACAGAAAGTTTTTCAAAATTGGGGTGGTCCCCATGTATGCTAACAGGCACATGGCTCTAGTGTATCTCTAAGCAACTTTTCAACAAGTGATATTACTCAAATAAATACGTAGTAATTGAGAAGTTGCTTAAAAGCAAAATAAACGTATGCATGCATCGATACATTTATTTTTATGCAAACATGCTCTAAGCAAGTTCAAGGCTAGATTGCGGGAGTATGATTCTTACGTATTTTGATGTTATTGGTGAATCGGATTAATCCGGCTAATAAATAGTGCAACTCCGATCCGCTTGCTCATTTTGGGTATATGGGAAATTCGGGTTTGGTATGGGATATTAATGCGTTCCTAAAGAGTCTATCATATATAGCCTGTTGCTCATAGAAGCTTTCAATGCATTGTCTCACCTACAAAATTTTCAATTTTGTAGTCATATGGATGAACATCCATCACCAAAGGTAGCAGGTTCATGTAGTGGAAGGAGCAACTTGAAAAATGGCAGGTGACGTAAGTCCCGCTGGATTCTTCTTTTATAACTAGTACCGACAAGATTGACTGTGATCAAATCCGAATTTTATTGTTTAGAGGTTTTTGGGAAAAAACACAATAGAAAATGTGATGCGTTTTACTTAAATATAAGAAATTCTCCCAAATGTTATGTCTTTATCCGTTTGTCATATAATTTCACTAAGAAAACAATTACGAGTATAAACAAAAGTAGGATCACACGACTAATATCGATATTCAAATGCTATCATAATCACTACACTGCTATACAGCAATGTTAAACCTCACTAGCTATTTAAATAAATTTTGATCACTTATTTTACAATGATAATTTTATCTCCATTACACTTCTTTGTGAGAAATTATAACCGATTCACCCTAATTAAGTGATTGAAAAATTATATATTATTGGAAAAGTAATAGTCCTAGTAAAGAATGTGTCAACCCACAATCCTCGTTGGTTTAAAGTAAGAATGCATTAGCCATGCATCAAATATAATTCAAATCCCTGTTGTTATCATATATCATGCACATGACATCATGGAACAACAAATTAGCAATTCGAAAATCATGTGTCTTAACGATACTATAATTAAATGTGTAAGTAAAATTTTCAAGATCTCTAATTTATACTTCTTATGTCCCATAATTAAAATTACACTTTGATTTCAAATATATCAAGGAAATAAATTTACTGGGGGTAAATTTTATTGTAGATGACATTGTTTCGACACCGTTACGGAACTGTTTTGCAGTGTTTTGTACTGTTTTGATACGTATTTGTTTGTTAAATCAAGAAGTGGGACTTTATTTCGGGAGTGTCTGAAAAGGAAAGTGGAATGTTAATTTTAGAACATACTCCCTCCGTCCCCTTTTAAAAGTCCCGGAGGAGGGTGGCACGAGTTTTAAGAAAAGTGGGTTTGTTTGGTTGATATTAATTGATAAAGTAAGAATAAAGTAAGAATAAAGTAAGAATGATTTTGAGCCACACAAACTTTACCAAATAAGGTATGGGACAATTAAATAGGGACATCCCAATATGGTAAAATGGGACATTTAAAAGGGGACGGAGGGAGTACTACGTAGTACATAGGAACAGATTTCCACATAAACGTCACATCTTTATTCATCAATTTTCATTTTTTGTCATTATTCTTATATAGATAGTACTCCATCCGTCCCGCTAAGATTGTCCCATTTTACCTTTTCAGGAAGTCCCACTAAGATTGTCTCATACCAAATTTGGTAAAGTTTGTGTGGCTCTAAATCATTCTTACTTTATTCTTACTTTATCAATTTAATTTCAACCACACAAAGTTATTCTTTTCAAAGAAGAGAAAAAGAAAACGTATAGTAACACCTAAGAAGTAGTGGCTTGTGACTGAGGCATAACTTGTGAACATCTCTCTAGCTAGTCTGATCTCGTGTGAGTGAAGTAAAATTAAAGGAGTATATGGATGATTGGTTCGTGGGAATGGACTAAGTCAAAAAAGGTGGTGAATGGATAAGATCACACGTGGCCGGTAAAACTGCAACCACAATTAAAAGCATATGGCAAACCCCAAAGTCCCAAACAGTTTTGGATTCACACCAGTAAACAAACTAAAGCAACAAATCCGATCTTTGCCGGCCAATGATATACTCTTCTTTCACATGATCCCAACCCAAAGAGCCAGGCAAGATGTGTATCTGTCTATCATACACGGCTTCTTATATCACAACACCATCATGCCTTGGTGTCAGGGGCGGAGCCCTTGGGTCAGGGTGCTCAGTCGACCCCGCTGAAAGTTCAAGTATGTAGAACTCTGAAATACTTTCGATTTGATATATTATGAGCCTCATAACTCATTACGAGTAAAAAATTATGACTTCTGGAAAAATCAGCGCCATTTTAACTTAAATAAGCAAAATTTTATGTGTAGCGTTGATTATATTCTTAAATTTAAAAATAAAACAGCTTATTCAGTCATTAGTTGTGTAAACATTATGATACATTACATATATATCATTACATTAACCGATAAATGCTCATTAAATTACCATTTATCTCAGCTACATATGAAACATTTAACTTAAGTATTGTATAATAACTATCCATCACTTTGATACTGTATATAATTAAATTTCGACCCCGCTCACACATTTTTCTGGTTCCGCTTAATTGGTGTATTTATTTAAGATTAAATTTAAGTTTGTGGTTCTCATTTTTCTTTTTTTACAAGTGCAATAGAATTGCTGTTAAATTAATTTAACTTTGTATCCTCCCGCAAACAAAGAAAATTATACACAACAAGAGAATAATATTATTTCACAAAATAATATTTATATAATGTACTACGTATTTAATAACTAAATAAGTACTACGTAAATAATTTATATGAACCAATATGTCCTTACATTATTATAAAGCTTTTAAATAATGTATTAATAAATAAATAAGTAAATTATTTATATGAACCCATATGTCCTTCCACTATTATAAAGCTATTCTCTTTTATATCTCTTTTATATCGCTTGATTTGACACGTCACATCAATGTTTTAGTAGAAGTGTAGAACTATATTTTCAAACTAAAAGATACGGAGTATACTACTCCGTAATATTTAGCTATAACTTCTTCAATTCCTCTTGATCTATTATTATAAATATTGCTTTTAGCAATTGATTTACCTCTATGTTAGTAGTTTCTTTTGGCTACTTGGATTTAACTCATGTAAAAAGGAAAATAATGCTCTTTGGTCTAAATTTGAGAGTGGGTCCTCCAACTTAGTTATTGGATTTGTTCTAAATATGGACAAATCATTTCTAATGAAAGAGTAAAGCTTGATGGACATAATTTGGACAATAAAATGAGGTGCAATCAAATTATCTCTACATCATATGTAGGTACATCATAAATAGGCAGGGGCGGAACCAGGGGGAGCGAGCCGCGCCACCCCTTCGCCGAAGTATATCCATTAGCGCCCCTGTGCTTGTTAGAATACGTTAGAACATATGTAAATATATTCTATTTATTATGTATTGATTTAGTTACCTAGTTTGTAGTTATTCAATTCATTGCATATATTTAGTTACCTTATTCATCTCTTGTAATCATGTATATAAACCCATTTGAGTAATGAGAAAACACACGCTGAGTTCTTTCATGGTATCAGAGCAAGGTTTCTTCCTAATCTCTGCATTTTTTTCTTCCGTTGCCCATATTAGCAGCAGTAACCTTCTTCTCTTGCTCAGCAGTAACCTTCTCTTCTTGCCCAATACTCTGCCATCATGTCTCAACCCAATAAATTTCACTCAGCCTTGACCATTACCAATGTCAAGAGTCTAATTCCTATCACTTTAGATGCAGACCAGGGCATGTATCACTCTTGGGCAGCCCTTTTCAAGGTTCTTGTTAAAGTTCATGACCTTCTTCCTCACATTGTTCCTCCTACAGAGGAAACAGAGAAGACAGCCTATGAGGCCACCAAAGCTGCGGACCTGGCTCTTTGGAAAAGGCTGGAGTCGCTGTTTCAGGACAACAAAGCTTCTCGTGCTGCTCATCTTGAAGAAGAACTCACCGACCTCAATTTTGAGAATTTCTCCTCCATCGATAGCTATTGCAATCATATCAAGACAATTTCTGAACGCCTTGATGATGTTGATGCTACCGTTCCCAACAGCCGTCTAGTTCTCAAACTTACTGGTGGATTGCCGGAGGCGTACGCCGGCACCGTTGATTTCATTCAAAATCAGGACCCTCTACCTGCTTTTGAAAAATGCCGTTCTCGCTTGAAGCTGGCCGAACGCACCATAAAAAACCGCCTAGCAAAGGAGGGCGGCAACCGGTCTCAGGCAGCTCTCGTTTCTTCCGAGGCTCCGCAGGTTAGTCATTCGGCGGCATCATCTGCTGCTCTCAATCCTTCCAGAACCAAGAAATCACCTAACAAGTCTACTGCACTTAAGCGAGACAATGGTAAGGGCCGAAATATTAGACCCTCATTTGGGCCTAATTGGCAGCAGCAACCTTGGATGTCTTGGAATCCTTGGATTGCCCAGTGGCCCATGCCCCCTCCTTGCCCCTATCCCTCCTCGCCTTGGGCTCCTAGACCAGTTGCTACTTCATCAGACCCACGTTCTGCTGGTCCGGGCATTCTTGGTCCTCGCCCTCAAGCATATAGTGTCATTGCCCCTTCTGTTAGCTACACTCCTACTGACATTGAAGCGGCCATGCATGCTCTATCTTTCTCTCAACCGGACGCGAATTACTATTTGGACACCGGTGCTACATCTCACATGACTGCGGACCCAGGTATTTTTTCCTCTTATTTCAATTCGAGCATTAAAAATCACAATATTCTTGTTGGTAGCGGTCATTTAATTCCAATTATTGGTTACGGTAGTACTACTTTACCCCATCCATATCCTCCCTTTACCCCGAACAATGTCCTACATGCCCCTAAATTAATTAAAAACCTGATATCTGTCCGTAAATTCACCACTGACAATATGGTTTCTATTACTTTTGACCCATATGGATTTTCTGTGAATGATTTACAGACGGGAGCCAAAATTCTGAGGAGTGACAGTACCGGTACCCTTTATCCACTTTTCTCCAATACTAAAGCCATCCCTCCAGTCAATCAATCTGCCTTTACTGCTATTTCTTCTGATCTTTGGCATGCTCGCTTAGGCCATCCTGGTGATGCTGTACTTAGATCTCTTAGTAGTAGTCATTTTATTGATTGTAATAAGGCTTGTAAAACGTTTTGTTCTTCTTGTCCTCTAGGAAAGCACTCTAAATTACCATTTTCTAATTCTGTGTCGTACACTTTTTTACCTTTTGATATTATTCATAGTGATGTTTGGACTTCTCCTATTGTTAGCACCTCAGGCCATTCTTATTATGTGTTATTTCTTGATGATTACAGTAAATTTTTATGGACATTTCCTATTGCAAAGAAATCTCAAGTTAAGGACTTGTTTCAAATATTTCATGCTTTCGTCCATACACAATTTCAACGTAACATTAAGACTTTTCAATGTGACAATGGCACTGAATATGTTAATGGCACTTTTAAGGAATTCTTTGATAAGCATGGTATGTTATTTCGTCTCTCATGTCCTCATACCTCACCTCAAAATGGAAAAGCTGAACGTCACATCAAATCCATTAATAATATCATTAGAACCTTACTAGCTCATGCTTCCTTACCACTTTCTTTCTGGCATCATGCCCTCCAAATGGCCACTTATCTCCTAAACATACTCCCAACCAAAATTTTAGGTTTTCAATCTCCCACTCAAGTTTTATATCAATGTGACCCCATTTACTCAGACTTACGCATCTTTGGTTGTCTATGTTTTCCTCTATTTCCTTCTACGACCATTCACAAATTAGAGGCACGATCCACACCTTGTGTCTATCTTGGTCCTGCCCCGAACCATCGCGGTTCTAAGTGTTACAACATGTCAAGTGGTAAAATTATCATTTCTAGACATGTGCAGTTTATTGAGCATGAATTTCCTTTTTCCAAACTCCCTAATCCTCCGCCACAAAATTATGATCTCCTCAATGATCATTCTATTCTCCCTCATCTGTTTCATACACCTCCTACCATCCCACAACCTCACCATACCGATGGTACTGTCGCCTCATCAGAATCTCCTTTATTACACCCTTCTCCACCAATACTTACATCACCCTCTCCCACCACCCAGCCTGAAACCGCCACTCTCAGTAATCACCAACCCAATGAATCTTCCTCTACCACATCATCTCACCATATGATTACCCGAGCACAAAATGGCATAGTCAAACCTAACCCCAAATACTTTACCAATTTGAACACCATGACTATCCCCAACATCTCTCCCCTTCCCAAGGACCCTGTTAGTGCTATTCGTGACCCTAATTGGAAAACTGCAATGTTGGATGAATTTAATGCTCTTATTGCTAATAACACGTGGGAATTAGTGCCTAGACCGCAAGGTGTGAATGTCATTCGGTCCATGTGGATCTTTCGTCATAAAAGGCATTCTGATGGCTCTTTTGAGCGACATAAAGCCCGTCTTGTAGGTGATGGAAAAACTCAGCAACAAGGCATTGATTGTGATGAAACTTTCAGCCCAGTTGTTAAGCCACCTACCATCCGGTCCGTTCTCAGCGTTGCTCTTTCTAAATCTTGGCTCATTCACCAGTTAGATGTCAAGAATGCTTTCTTGCATGGCCATCTCAATGAAACTGTGTATATGCATCAACCATTGTGTTAGTCTCCAATTTTGAAAGATTTTGATGATGCCACTATACTAAACAAATTTACATTGAGTCTTATTTTCAGAAGTAACATTTTAAATTTAAATCATAAGTGACAAAAATAAATGTACAATCTTTAAGATTAATGATATATTACCGGATACATAAAAATGCAATAAGGTATCTTTTTACCTTCATAGGATATTTGAATCCTACCGGCATATATCATTTTACTTAAAGATTAAATATAGGTCACATTTGAGATGCTCGAATACACTGAATATTGATTGGAAGACAAAAATTAAATACACGGTCCTACAGCATGGGAGGACCTCTTGGAGTGAAGCTGCAGCGGCTGAAGACACACCCATACCGCAGCCCAATCATTCAAGACAGAAAACAAAAATATTAAAAGCTCCTGCACAAGAAGACAAATGTACAATTCGTCCTTGCCAGACCCTCAACGCACAAGATTAATCCATCTCAACCAACGGATGAGATTGATCAACCATGAAGGCCTATAAATATAGGTAGAAGCATGAGTTCAAACCAAGCTTGAGCATCCTAAGCAGAGAAATACTTTCATCAAAGCATATACGAAGCTATCTAGCAAAAGAGAAAGTGCAAACTCAACTTTACTCTCTGCTTAGCCTCATGCTTCACTAAGCTCTTAGATTAGATCAATACTTTTACATTTTTAGAGCTTAGTTCATAGTTGGAGGTTAGAACTTTCTTGTAACATTTCACAAGTGGTTGTAAACACTTAGGAGAACAGTTGTTCGGATCCTAAAGTGTAGTTAGATAGATAGAGTACCTTTTGATCCCCACTGGATCAATTGAGAAAAGTCTAAGGACTGAGTAACTTTGAGTGGTGTTATACTCATTGTGAAAAACCTTCAATCTAGGCCTAAGTGTTGTAAAGGCTAGATTGGCACTAAGTGTATTGGGCTTAATACTTTAGTGGAAATCCATCTGAAATAGGGTGGGACTGGATGTAGGAGGATTACACCACCTCTGAACCAGGATACATCGTGTGTTGATTATCCTTTACTCAACAGAGCACACACCCAACACTTCTCACTAAAGGGATCGTAGTTTGCCAGCAGCATCCTAAGCAGTCGTCTTAATTGACTCTACTGCTTATCCTACTGCTTAATAACTCACTTTTCCTTGAGATATCTGTTTCCCACAAGCTTTGAATATCACTACTAAAAGGTGTGGTTGGTCAGTTCTCAGAAATACTCCCTTCTTTCACAGCAGACGGCTTAGCAGTTCCCTGGGTTTACCCAACTGCTCAGACCTCTGCTCAGGCAAAACTCCTTATTCTCTTTAGCTCTACACATACTCATAAAGTCCTCATCATTCTGTTCAAGGCCATATAATTATCTCTTCCAAACTCCAGTTTTCCACTAGCAGCAGCCTCAGCAATTTCCTGCCCTCCAGGCAACTGCCAAGCCAACTGCTCACTGATCAAAGTCCAATCTTCCCAAATTAGAAAGTGGTCAAACTCTCATCACATAAAGGGTAAAGACTTCCGCTGTGCATCTATTAATCTCTCAAAAGATTATAGATCAACTTTTGTAGAGGGAAAACTTCATAAAGTTGAAAAAGATTTAAAAGTCTATTCACCCCCCCCCCTCTAGACTTTTACCCTATCCGGGACCATCAAGTGGTATCAGAGCAGAGTGTTCCTAGAGTCAATTTCTGACTAATTTGAACTAAAGATCCAAGCCACTCTACTTCTCAAACACCTTCTAAGATGGACAGTCAGTTAGCAAAGAACCTTCTGTTCAACTTGAACAAATTTGATGACTGGAAAATAAGGATGAAAGCACATCTCAGTGCTTTACATGATGAGATGCTTGAAGTAATTACTGATGGACCTATCAAAATAATGAAGGTCATCACATCTAGAACCACAGAAGGAACAGATGATGTGTACATTCCAAAACCCAAAATGGAATGGACAACTGAGGACAGGAAGAGAAACAATCTTGACAACATTGCCAAGGACATTCTCTTCAAATCTGTTGATGAATCTATATTTCCCAGAATCAGGAAATGCGAAACTGCCAAAGATGTCTGGGATGAGCTCACAAAGATTGCAGCAGGAGATGAACAGGAGAAGGACAATAAACTGACCATAGCCCTCAAGAAATTTGAGGATTTCAAAATGCTGTCAACTGAATCTATCCATGAGATGGAATCCAGATTCCTGAAGATTGTGGCAGAGGTCTCTGACCTTGGGAAAGAACTATCTCAAAAGGAGATTTCCCTCAAAGTCTTGAGAGGCTTGCCATCAAAATGGGACATGAAGGTAACTGCTATGAGAGACAGCAGAGATCTCAGAACTCTGTCAACCGACAAACTCTTTAGTGATCTCAAGGCCTATGAATTTGAAATGAAGGAGATCAAAGAAGAGAAGGAAGATGAATACAAGACACTAGCTCTAGTATCTGAGCCAAGCACTTCAAAATCTGCTGAAAAATCCCTCAATAATTTCCTCACTGACGAGCAGTTTGCTATGTTTGTGAGGAAATTTAAAAGATTCATGAAGAAGGAGGGAACTGCTCCAAAGAAAGCATACAACCTGCCACCTAGAAGACAAGGGAGACCTCAATCCAGTGAGGAAACTGTTCTATGCTACAACTGTAGACAGCCAGGACATTACAAAAATGAATGCCCTCTGCCCTTAGCCCAGAAGTATCAAGGGCAGCAGGGGACTGGTCTCAAAGCTAGTTACAAGAGGGACTTCAAAAGCAAAAGACAAGCTTTTGTAAGTGAAAAGAAAAAGGAGGAACCCCAATCTGAAGATGAAAGCAGCTCAAGCAATGAAAGCTCTTCATCTGAAAGCTCAGAGGAAGCACTTCTATGCCTGGGATCCTGGCAGATGGCTGAAAAAGGCGGCAGCTGGCTCACTGGAGAAAGCAGCAGATGGCTCAGTGAAGATGATGGATGCAGCTCTCCTAAATGCCTAATGGTCAAAGACCACTACGATGATGTTGAGGAAGGTGCTGGAGCAATTGACTCACAAACATGGTACATAGATTCAGGCTGCTCCAGGCACATGACAGGCAGCAGGCGGCTCCTGTCAAACTATATGGCAAGCGAAGGACCCAAAGTTACTTTTGGGAATGTGGAAAAACAAGGAGAAACCAAAGGAGTCGGAGACCTATCCATCAATGGACTTACAATCCAAAACATATCTTATGTTAAATGATTAAAGTTCAATCTCATAAGCACAAGCCAGCTCTGTGACAATGGCTATAATGTTACATTCTCCAAAGACATCTGCTTGATTAGAGATGTCAAAAATGACAAAACTGTGCTCACTGGTAGAAGAAAGAAGGACATGTACATTGTTGATTGGAGCTCAGCTAAGGAAGGGATCTGCTTGGTAACAAAGGCAGATTCAAATTTGAGTTGGGAATGGCACAACAAATTAAGCCATCTCAACTTCAAAACAATCAACAAATTGTCCAGAAAAGGATTGGTGAAAGGACTTCCTGAAATCAACTACAAAAAGGACCACCTATGTGATGCTTGTCAAAAAGGAAAACAAACCAAGGTATCATTCAAATCAAAGGAAGTGGAATCATCAATCAGGCCCTTAAGCCTACTACACCTTGACTTGTTTGGACCAGTAGAACCAACGAGCTTAAGTGGTAGAAGGTA